GATACGTACGGGAAAACGTTACGTTCGAAGGCGCTGTAAAGGATTATTTTAGAATTAGAGATTTATTTTGTGTGCGCGATATCTTTTAAATAAAGCTTTTAAGTTCTACGTTTGGAATGGCGCTTTTATTGTATGAAATCATCTATCTAGTTATTACGTTCTATCCTTTATACGTAATTAGGACGCAAAAGTCTATCGAAGGGATACTTGAACAATCCTGTTGTTCGATTACTGAGGCCTAATTACACCTGACTTGATGCCTCTCAAGTTCAGTCTCTTCCAACTTATTCTTCAGCGCAACAGGCACATACATCTTAAAAACGTAAGAAGTCATCGTCACAGCCGTAATTTGCGAAGCAATTTACTTTTAGATGCCAATCTGTCTAAAATTACAGCATAACAACTCGTTGGCTTTCCTGTACAAAGTTAAATTTTCAGTTTTTGCCAGGAGCCTAGAGAAGGAACCCACGGAGAGCAAAATCCGAAACATGAAGCGAACGTATTTAGCGAGATCTAGTCCTTTTTTCTGCGGCTGGAAACGTTTTTGCCAGTTGTTGGGCAGTCTGGATGGCGGATAGTATTCTCCCCGAAGCTGGCACAATACAATCATCAGCTGTAGGTAACTTGGCGCAACCGCTAGGGTTGGTGAAGCGAGCAAACGAGAGATATGGGAACAGAGCTCGCCGTACCGCAACGCCGTCGTGTGAGGCTAGATAGTTTAGCGTTCTTTTGTATATAAATTAAACTAACAACAGCCATCAATCGTATGGGAGATGGCAAAGTGTCGTTAACGTCTAGCGGCAACGGAGCCACTCGACCAGAGGATAGATGAAGGTTGAAGGGGAAAAGATGAATTTCGCTATTCAAGGCCGCCTCTGTTTTTATCGTACTAGTTATTATTATTATTATTATTATCGTCCCTACTGCTGCTGTTTGGAGTCACAAACCGCAAACGACCGAATAATGACGTACGAAAAAAAAGACGGAGGTCCGAAAAGCTTTCGGCAACATCTTGTCATGTATCCATTGTACGAATCACGCTCGTTGGTCACAGAAACACTCCTAAGAAATGTGTACATAAGTTGTCAATGAGAATAAATTGATTGTATTAAAGAAGTAATGACAAAAAACTATTCAGACAAACGCATATCTGAGAGATATTTTCTAGCCAATTATTACAGTCTTAAAGTTTTGAAGTTGACCAAATCGAGCTGATTGCAGGGTTTTGTCCAGTGCACTCTGGAAGCCTATCTATTACAAGCACAGCAATATCAACAAAACTCCAATGGGAAACACTTCTTCCCTAATCGGGTAAACTTATTTGGGGTAGCACTAGACAAGCCTGTCACTCGTTGGCCGTCGTAGCGTTTAGCTTAGCTTAGCTTAGCTTTCTTTTCACAAGGCGAATGGAAGTAAACCAGGGAAGCGACGTCACTGGGAAATGAGCTTACGCAGTGCAACAGTCCGACCGTAGCATTGGCTGACTGTAACAGAAACTGCATCATTATCAATAAGTAATAATACCGTAGCCGTGAGCGATCTATCCGTTATAGGCGACTACCAACGTGGGCCGACAAACGGCCGAGTTTCGATAGTGCTCCGCACCCCACATTTTAATGCTATCGTTTTCCCCACTATTGTCACGGCCACAAGTTCCAATCAAAGGTAAAAAACGAACGAACCGAATTAGTATATCTGTGTTATCTCGAACAGATAGCGAAGTCATCATCTTATTTCTTACGATCCGCTACCTTAAAGCCAGAACGAAACTCAAACTTATGGGTGAGTTCACGCGGTACTCTCTCTCCTATAAGCTGTCTGCGTCTATCACTTTCAGTGACTTGCGTGTGCGTACCCAGCTATGTTAACTTGCTCTTGTTTTAGCTCTGTTGACAGGCGTTCCTATGCACACTTACGTATATATACACCGCGAAGCTAACGCCCTGCACGCACACACACACACACGCAGAAAGGCTAAGAGGCAGGCGTAAGGACACGACGACTTTCGAATGCAGACGAAAACGCGCCTACAAGTTGGTGATAGCGGCCACACGGATTCTGACGGCCACGCTTAGGCAAAAGTCACATCGCCTATAGATGCATGTCGATATATTGCCGGGATGCAATCAACCTTACGCGCACGGAATATAACGCTTGTGGGGAAACGTTACACAGTGCGCCTGTGATAGGTGTACGTAGCAGTACTAGCTGTTACGAGCGAAGTAGGATGAATTCAGTTAGCGTATGCTTGACGGTAGCGATTAGAACTAGAAAACGCTGAGGAAAAGAGGTAGCAAATGAGAGCGTTCAGGGGTACATTCTATAATCCTATGAGTGAATGAAAATTATACAACGAATTCTAGAATTTCTCTTCCACGTCGACCTTTGATTGATACAGTTAAGTAGTGGCGCCTTGATAATGACCTAGACCGTTGGGTTGCCCATGTCGATATTATTAAGAATACACTGACCCTGCACTAGCTCTGTCCAGACAGTTATAAGCTGGAGGTGTCTGAATGAAGGAAAATAATGTCATTATGTTCCTTCATTTATCTGATGAAGCGGAACCTAAAAAAATCACTATTAAACATATAAGTCTTTACTTTTTACTAAAAATGTACGGATATATATATATATATATATATATATTGTATCTGTAATATGTTACGCTAAATTTCGTTCCACTTTTTTTGGGTTTATGCTGCTGGCAAATGTAATAATACAGTGCCCCAGGATTTCGAGGCAAAGTTAAAAACCGCGTTAAAAATCGCTTGAGCGAATGGTTTTAAGTATTTGCATCTAAGATTTTGCAGATACATGCTAATGCAGAGAATGAGTGATCATCCATTGTGGATATGGATATGCCGTTGGGTCGGTGAGAGAGGCAAATTTAGCGCAGTTTACTGCAGGAACTAGATGACGCTAGTTTTCCACATGTGGGCACAGTTTGACCACCTGGCCCATGAAGACGCGTTCAGGACGTCAGAACTGACCGACGGAAATGCACGGAAAAAGTAGCTGCTTCGTTCCGCTTGCGAAATTGATCGAACATGTATACGTGCTGTTCTATCAGTACCCTACTACCCGACCAGCCCGAGCACCTCTAATATGATGACTGCGGCTTGGGCATGCGTGAGCGTTCTATGTGAATATTGTACACACTGCCAATAGCAGTATTGCGTCTTTGGACGTCACGGGGACGCATCTTATGTCTAGCTTGATCCGCTTACCATCAACCCATCATCTCTTGCAGTCAGCTCGTTGCCTCCGTCGCAGCCGCTGTTGTTACGCTCTTCTGAACGCTTCGAGATAAGGCGTCTCAGGTCGACTAACTCTTTAAGGACAAGCGAAGTTTGAACAAGGAAACTCGTAAGGGGCGACCTACTCCTGATGACACTCGGCCTAGCTGTGCTCCTTTTTAGGTTCCTTTTAGATCAGAGCTACAGTAGTCGGACGAGAAACAAAACGGACGGCAGTGCTACACGTAGTGAATAAGACAACCGATATTTTCTTTTCGGGAATGGCAGGTAACACGGGAAACGAGTCACCCTTAAACGTGTTACATCAATACACGATACGTTCTGCGCCCTAGACGTTTTTGTAGTATCTAATTGTCGACAAGACGACTAATTTCCATCAGTGTCGTCGTTGTCATCACACGAGGAGGCGGGATGGATGTCGCCACTGAAATGATATCTGCTGTTCCGTCAGCCATAGCTGAAACAGAACGCCGACGGCGCGCCGGAAACCCGCCATAGCTTGAACATCTATCTATATATTTATCTAGGCGTCTTCCTACGTGTATGTATCCATCTGAATCATTTTTCGCCGTTCGTGCAGAACGTCAGGATCATCACTGGAGGATGCTGTTGCGGCCGATGCCACCGCTGCTGTTGGCCCGAATTCGATGGCGTGCGAAACACGTCGCCGTGAAACAGCTATCGAAGAAGAGTGAACGTTTGAGAAAAGGCTGCAAGCAGCAAAAGTGGAATGGACACCCAAATACGTATAGTTACTTACCTAGCAGCGGTAGTCACAGCATCGGTCAAAACATCCGCCACTGACGACAACAGCAGCAGCAACAGCAACAACAACAACAGCAACAACAGCAACAGAGAAGTAATAGGAGAATCGAACTCCTCCACCGAACAGGTCACGCCTCGGCGAGCGCGTCAAGTTCGCTCCCAAATAATTGGCGTTCGAGAGAGAACGGAGAGAGGCGGGGAAGGAGGGGAGAGCGGCAGCACCAGTATGGCGCTGCGAGCTTACCAGTGGAAACAGCAGTGCCACAGGTGACGGCGCACCACTATAGCGATATAAGCAGTAGACGATATGATAGCATTTGTATTGGTATTAGTGGCAAGCGCAGCGGTGTTTGTCGATGGCACTATTGCCCAACCACCGAGCCAGCGGCGGCGGCGGCGGCGGCGGCGGCAGCGGCGGCGGCGGCAACGACGACGACGACGACGACGACGAAGAAGTGAACTCTAGTAACAGCAATACATACAAACGAACGATGCAAGTATCGGCGAGTTTGAATGAAATCCTCACTCACTGTTTGTGTTTGCCTCAGTATATCCGCAGTTGTTTGTGGCGCGACGGTGTCACCACTGCCGATAATACCAAAACAGTCCGATATCGAGCGTTGCTGGTGTTGATGTGGCCATTGCCGCATTACCGCGAGTACAGAGAGCGGCCAGCGTTTCCAGTAGAGATGTTGACAGAAAACTATATATCGGTTGGACGACAAAAGTGGAATAATTTCGATCGGAAACATCCCAGATTATCTATTCGTATCGCAGCTGTCAGTTGGCCGATGCTTGTTATTAGCTCGGATAGCTGGCCGGCAAAAATCCTTACCTGAATCTTGTTAAGTTACGCGAAAGCGACTACACTACGACGGCTAATACAAACTGTCATTGATATCAACGAGCGTATTTTTTTACGCGCGCGCACTAGCGCTTAGTTGTTTTTGAATGTTCTCTTGAGCTAGACTTTACTGCTAGCTTTCTAAACCGCATGCCACGAGACAAACCAAATAACAAATTACTAACAAGTAGTTTTTATCATCTTCAGCATTTCTATGCGTAATACTGCTAAAATGTATCGAAAATATCTAACACTCTCAGAATTGTACACTTTCAAGTTATTTAGGTTGATCGCTTCCCAACCAATCTAGTTGAACCTTTGGCCACTTCGCCTCTGCGTTTATCTCATAGCGACTTTAATGCTTCTCATTTTTGGCGGATTTTTTTATCTATTTCTGAGATCTCTTTAATATCTCTCTATAATGGAAGGGCAGGACCATTGAAGCATGGGACTACTGCGTACGTCGCGTCAAGCTGGCGTTTCTCCTCAAACGCCGTTACGTTTAGGAATAATAACTTACGGGTGAGACTTGCAGTTCGATTACTACAATTTCCTAACCTACAGATAAATGTCACCAAAGCGAACGCGCAAAAATCGTTGTCAAGGATGTTTAGTGTGGGAGCAACTTACGACCCCGCTGCTGTTTAACTGCTTAGGCAACTACGCCTCCCAACCGCCGTCGTCTTTACCGGTACATCATCATTGTTTGAATGTAAGTGAAATCACGCATCGATCAGTTAGCTAAACACCTACTAGAGATATTCTAACATTGTAGTATTGTTACTGTGGTGTATTTGGTCGAATCCGGTTCTCTTAACTCTCAAGGTAGCCCATGAATCTAATGCAAGGTTTTTGTTCACTAAGGACTCATAGTAACAGATAAAATACACACGAAGTTTTTCTAAGATGTCTTTCAAAGACGCCTAAACTAACCGGATAGCTTAAATAAAGCTATAAAGAGCGGATAAAGGGGAACTTTTACTCGTTGCTATCCGCTAGATAGAAGCCGTTGACGTATTGAACGCACTTACTGCAAATGGAAGTAAGCCTTTTAGATGTGAAAGTAGTTCGTTTTGTTCCACATTGTGTTTAGCTTCAATAGGCATACGACAATAACATAAAAATGTTTTCATTAAACAGTAAGATTTTTTTTTTTCGGTCATAGAATTCAGCACCACTACGCAATATGGTGCAGGTGGGGGAGTTGGAGAGAGATTGCACGCGTATTTTTTATTAAATTTGTAGGATCGGCAGGCATTTTGGTGAAATGCTGAAAAACTTCGAATAGAAAAACGTACGGAGTCCCAAGGTCTAATTAGCTCTAATAGCGGTCTACAATTGATTCATACTTAAAGTGTGTAAGGGTGAATAGCAAAGAGCAAACTAAGATGGCAATTCTGCCACAAGTAAGCTGACATCTTCTAACTAATATTCGTCAGTTCATTATAAATGAGCGAAGATTCACAAACACCCACGACAGGTAATCTTCGTTCTATCACAGATTGCCCTACGTCAAGCCAGCCATACTGACCGAGCTGGGTCTATAATTGCGGTGGCGATGTCGATCTACTTGCTTAGTCAACCCTTTTCTAACTAATATCCTTATATGATGACACGGTTTAGCGATCTACAGACACGCGAACGGATTAGCTAAAAATATGTATACTTCACGTCCACGTAAACCATCTTCGTATTCGCCGCGCGTTACGAGACCTTGTTATGCAGCAGTTATCTGGCTCCTTACATTGCGTGCCAGTTCCAGGCTTTACGTTGGTGCATTTCGGCGTAGGTCTTTCAAAAAAAAAAAAAAGGACACATGGAACTTAGGCTATGCACGAACTTCATTACGTGCTAGCAATACTTTTTCGCCCGCGCAATGAACCCGTACCTAGCCAAGCAGGTCAATTGACCAACAATGAAGGCACCATTTCACACTCGTGAAAAGTAATCTAGTGGCTGGCTTTTTTTTTACGTTTTAAAGCTCATTCTCTAGTGGTAAGTATATGCCAATTGACAATATCGTCTTCCTGTGCCACGTTGGTTAAGAACACCTACATGGATGGACCTGAGGTCGGAATCCGCCGTCAGCCATAGGTGCTTCCCTCCCTTGAAATTGATTTGCTTTCCGATGGATCGATCGATAAAAACCATTAAGGACCATAGTTGCTTTCTTCTGATCTTCTTCAGCGAATTGTCGAGACGGCAAGTGCTCGAACGTTTATAGAGCTGAATTCGTTTGTAAGGAAATAGAGATTATACAATATTAACGCTTAATTGGTTAACCAATTGATCCAAACGTGGATTGCGTTCGTGTATTTGAACAGCGTATGTTTACGGGCAGATTCGCCAATCGTAGGCCTGGCCGGCCATCACGCGATACGCCAATGGGATACGAACGAAGAGACCGGTAAGACATCTCATCTCAACCGTCTAAAGCTTATCCACCACAAATCGCGCAAATCGGTGGTCGATAATGGCCCCCTTGTCTCGTAACGGCAGCAGCGGCCGATAATAACTGTAGCATCAAAAGTTGTTAGACGATTACGAGCATCTGTGGCTGCCACAGGGGAGATTTGATGTCGGCGATTCGATAAACGGGCATAAAATCTACGCGCGTTCTTGTGAGCATAGCTTAATATTTCTCTATCAAGAAAAAGGCCATATAGCTTTTCTGACCGCAATTCCGATATATCGATCATGTTGGTTGTTTACGACAACGACAACAAAAACGATGATAATGATTGTGATCATTGTTCGCTAGTGACTTCACAGCGTACGGTTCGACGGTATACCACCCATGACCCGTCCGACTATGAACAGGGGCAAAAAGCGACCGTAACGCCTTATCTTGTTGTACAATTGAAGGAGGTGCTGTCGTTAGAGTGAATGTCGTCATAAATATACACTACTGAAGAATGTCTACCAAAGATAAATATTGCTGGACAAAGATACCTCACTGCCAGTAACAGATAGATTACTAAATGATATTCATTACAGGTATAATTTAAATCTACTTGAGCTCGACGTCCAAACAATACCGGTATCCATTCAAACCGTATAAGGCCTCAATCAATCGCTATTCCCATAAAGAGACAGGCTCGATAAGAAAGCCGGACAGGAGACAGCGAGAGAGCTTGAATCTCCGGAATATTTCCGGAAATATTTAGGTAACGATTGGCCATGAAATGTTGAATGAGTGCGTGTATTCAGACAGCCTTCAGTGTAACCTAACCAACGTTTAGCTGGCCTGGCTAGCGTAACTCCATGTGGTAGACTCATCGATGCCAAAGTTAACATTGCAATAAGCAGGGTGGAACCTGAAGGATAGAACACACTGTTTTTGATGTGCGAATACGAAGTTTCATCTCGAGTAGGCTTGATTCTGCAATGAAAAGGTAGCATTATCTTCGAAATGCGCGCACTCTTCCAAGCCTACCTGCTGTAAGGCCAGTGCTGCAGGCTGTCTAGTCGCGTTTGTTTGATTTGTTCTTTTCTTGCGGCCGCTGCTGGTGTCGCAGCTCTTACCGTAGGTCCTGTTAGTGAAATCATATTTTTATTCGTCGAAAAACCTTGTTTAGACTCCTTAATAGGAATCGGGTAGAAAAGTCTCAGCAACAGGAACGGAAGATAACAAAAAGTAAAGTGGCACTACGAGTAGGAGTCCAATTTTGCGCATGTCCTAGGGTAGAAGCCGCTGTATAGTCTGGCCATAGAGATGGTTGTATGTACTGCTGCTACGGACCACAACTTGCTGGCTGATTGCTTAATTTCAGGCGATACCTGCACGAACAGGCAAACTGGCGACAAGAAGGTAGATAGAAAAACAAGGCAAGCCCTGCTGCTTTTGCTGTGGGTCCGCGGCTCACACACAGTCAGAGGTCAGTACGAACTATAGCGTCACTCTGGTTGACACAGCTGCAGCCGTAGTACTAAGATATAGGCTTTGTTCTCCGATGAGCCGGAACAAGTAGCAGCAAGAGTCGCTGCCGCAGTAAACGTCCTGTGTGAGTATATATA